TAATAACCGTGTCATTAACAAAATTACAATCAAATATCAATTTCCTATATCGAGACTTGAAAATATGCTTGACCTTTTGGCCGGTGCACTTTGGTTCTCCAAAATTGATTTGCGCAGTGGTTATCATCAAATCCGAATTAGACCAACAGATGAATGGAAAACCGCATTTAAAACCCAGGATGGACTTTATGAGTGGTTGGTCATGCCTTTTGGATTGTCTAATGCACCTAGCACATTTATGAGGGTTATGACTCAGATACTGCGTCCTTTCCTAGGAAAATTTGTGGTTGTTTACTTTGATGACATCGTGATCTATAGTAAGTCTAAAGAAGAGCATTTTGATCATCTTCGACAGGTGTTACAGACATTACGTGTGAAAAAATTCTATGTAAACCTTAAGAAGTGCTCCTTTATGCAAACTCAAGTGTTTTTCCTTAGATTTGTTATTTCTGCGCATGATATTGCAGCTGACCCAGAGAAAATTCGTGCTATTAGGGATTGGCCAGTGCCAAGAACAATATCTGAGGTTCGAAGTTTTCATGGTTTGGCCACCTTCTATAAACGATTTATTGAAAGGTTTAGTTCCATTATGGCTCCCATCACAGAGTGCATGAAAAAATGGGAGTTTCAATGGACACTTGCTGCAACTAGAGCCTTTCAAGAAATTAAGCACAGGATGACAAAGGCACCCGTTCTTCGACACCCAGATTTTTCTAAGGTGTTTGAGGTTGCCTGTGATGCATCTGGTGTAGGGATAGGTGGAGTTTTGAGTTAAGAGGGTCATCCTATTACTTACTTCAGTGAAAAACTCAATGAAGCTAAACAATGATACTCTACATATAACAAAGAATTCTACGTTGTGGTACAAGCTCTTCGCCATTGGAGGTATTATCTATTGCCATTTGAGTTTGTGTTATATTCTGATCATCAGACATTAAAATACCTTCATTCCCAAAAAAATTGAGTGCTAAGCACGTTAGGTGGGTTGAGTTCCTTCAGGAGTATACTTTTGTTCTTCACCACCGAGCGGGCATTAAAAACAAGTCTGCAGATGCTCTTAGCTGTGTAGTTGCTATTTTACAGACTATGAGTGTCCATGTGATCGACTTTGACAGGATTAGAGATGAATATGCTTCTTACCCTAACTTTGGTATCATTTTCAAGATGTTCAGTTTGGTAACCGTCATGAGTACATTGACTTCCTCCTTAAAAATGGTTTCTTGTTCAGAGGGTCGCGCTTATGTATTCCCCGTACTTCACTTAGGGATTTCCTGATTTGGGAATTACATGCAAGAGGTTTGGCAAGCCACTTTGGTCAGCATAAGACATTTGCACTTGTTGATGATAGGTTTTATTGGCCCACTTTGAGGCGTGACATTATTAGGATAATGTCATAGTGTCGCACTTGTTAGTTAGCAAAGGCTAGGAAACAAAACACTGGGTTGTACATACCATTACCAGTTCCACACACACCATGGAGAGACCTTAGTATGGACTTTGTCTTAGGATTGCCTAAAACAACCCGTAATCATGATTTCATTCTAGTTGTCGTGGATAGGTTTTCTAAGATGGCCCATTTCATTCCTTGCACTAAGTCTACTGATGCCTCACATGTAGCAAAGTTATTTTTTAGAGAGGTCGTCCGACTACATGGGTTGCCTATTTCCATTGTGTCTGATAGGGATGTCAAGTTTGTGAGTTAATTTTGGAAGACACTTTGAAAACTCTTTGGAACTAGTCTTAAGTTTTCCTCTGTCTTTCATCCCCAAACTAATGGTCAAACTGAGATAGTCAATCGTAGCTTAGGAGATTTGCTTAGATGTCTAGTGGGTGAGAAGACGGGAAATTGAGATTTGTTGTTGCCTACTACTGAATTTGCCTATAATAACTCCGTCAACAGGTCGATTGGTCGATTCCCTTTTGAAATTGTTTATGGTCATTCCCCTAGACAACCCATTGATTTATTACCTTTACCTCCTGAATCCCGCCCCTCACACTCAGCCGAAGCTTTTGCCCAGCATATTCATGACTTGCATGCCGACATAAGACAGAAAATTACATTAAATAATGAGAATTATAAATTGGCTGCAGATGTTCATCGTAGGAATAAAGAATTTATTGTGGGAGACTATGTCATGGTTCGTATGCGTCCTGAGCGTTACCCTAAAAATTCTTTCAAAAAGTTACATGCTCGAGCCACTGGCCCTTTTCGTATTCTTCGTAAGCTTGAACCTAATGCATATCACCTTGACTTACCTTCGAATATGAGTATTAGTCTTATTTTTAATGTGGAGGACTTGTTTCCTTATCATGGTACTTTTGAGCCTCCTATGTTGCCAGCAGGTGTTCCTATAGGTGGACTTGCTTTGTCATTAGCATCAACTACAGTTTCTATTCTTCCACCGTTTCCACCACAGCTGCATGACCAGATCACAGATGTACTTGATGATCAGATTGTAGACTCCTCGGATAGAGGATATTGTTGTTATCTTATTCGGTGGAGAGATCGTCCAGAGACTGATGATTCATGGATTACTAAGGAGAAGTTTCGTCGGCTTGACCCTAATCTTCTAGAGCATTATCATGATCGTATCTCTCCGGAGGCGAGTTCTTTTCAGCCGGGGAAAAATGATAGGAATCGGGTTATATTTTGTTATAGTAGGCGTAGGCGTAGGGATTAGGAGTTATTTGTCATTTTGCTTTTAAGGGGTTTAGTTGTCATTATGACTATTTATTTCTTTTAGAGTTCTTTTAGGATTTGTGGTCTCCTTATATATATAAGAGATATGTTATTTGTTTTGGTAGACTTTGATTATTGATTATTGATATTGAATCTTCTTTTTAAAATTCTCTCTCTATTCTCATCTCCTTCTTCTTCTTTTCTCATCACTTTCTTCTTCCCTTCTCATCCCTAATTCGATGTACATCACCCTAATACTACATTAAAATTACATAAATACTCCCTAACTCAACGTAATCACATACCAGGCTTTTCCACGGGAGCTGATTGTTTCATTTGTCCTGCCTACATATGGGAGCATCAAGTGTATTTTAGTTTCATCCAGAAAACGTTATCATTTTTTTTATTTCTTGGTTTGGTGAAGTTTGGGATGTTATTATGCCTTATAGATATGTTGAATATATAGATTTTTTTTTTGCTATTGTTACTCACTATGAGTCTGTAATTAATTGACTTTAGCTTCAGTGGTGCAGGTCAAAAAGGTGGTAAAGGCGAAAAACTAGAATTACATTTGCTCAATGCTATACTTTTTTTTAATTTGAATAGAGTTTTTAAATTCAGCTTACGTGGTTTTGCTTCAACTGTTTTGATTTCTAGGTTGAAATAACTTTGTTTTCACTGGTGACTAAGAAATAGATTGTGGTTGGGCCGTGACTCATCCTCATGCCCCAAAGGTAACATTGTGTTCTGTAATTTAAATGCTTACGATAAAAAATCTATATATTCAACATACGCACATCGTTTTAGACTTACATTTGATGAATTTGAGAAATGAGTCATTGTCCATGCTTCTCTTCAACTGGATCAATAAAGGTGAGATCAGCTCTCACTACCCCAGCAACTCAATCCTAAATTTAGAGTGGCAACCAGCAGAAAGAGAAAGTCCAGCTTAGGTGTCAGGCTTAAGAGGGGTCATCGTTCGTGCTGTCCTATGTTGTATTTTTGTAGCGGGGGCCCAACCCCACTAACGCCGTGCAAATTGGTAGGAAGAAAGGGATGAAGGCAAGCCACCCCATAACCACAATTTTCCATTATGTATTTACTTATCCATTCATGTGAACAATAGTCTATCATAAATGACTAATAATCTTGAACTCATGCATGGAATGTTAAACTCATGATGTTGTTCAATGGAAAGATAGTACTTTTAATTGGTGATTTTTTTTATTTAACAAATGCTTTCAGACACGGGCATTTTTATTTATTAAGGTTCATGCTCAATTGGTACAATGTTCAATTGCTTTGAATTATTATATTACAGTAGTTCATAAAAAGTGGTAATAACGGTACTTACGTGATATGATGAGATTATTGATACATGGTATTGTTTATTTATATAAATATTTGATTTTATAAGTTGTACACACATGTTGATATTGTCTGGTGATCGTGTTTTCAAATGAAGCTTTGTCGATTTTTTATTTAAAATAATAGTTGGTTCACATAGGTAGTGAATTTGTGGTAGAGAATTATAAGAAACAATAAAATTAGGGTTAATAGGTTACTCTTGGATCTCATATTGCATTTCTCGTTGATGGCTATTAACTGATATGCACCAAGTGGGATGCAACTTGGACTATTTTTTTTTTCTTTTTGTTACATAGTGCCTTTAGGCATGAGCAATTTCTAGTAGACCATATAGGCCAATAGATTTGAACTTTTCAAGTCTCCGTTGCATAAAAGCTAGAACTTAATAATATAATACCACTTCTTAAATATATAATGTAGTTAGTTTTATAGCTTGGATTAAATTTAATAAAACAACAATTGTATGGCACAAGAATTCATCAGGAAAACAACACACTATTATAAACACAAAATGGTAATAAAGAAATTGTGCTTCTTTGTTTTTACTTTCTACCCATTCAATAAATATACAAAACTTTGCAGATCAAAGTTCAATCTATTAAAGAAATACTAATCCAATTTTTACACTATACAAAAATTACTTGATACTTGTATTCCTTCCTAAAACAAATATACCTTTAGCCAAGTTCAATGTCTAGGTGATCCAGATTTTCCACTTATATGCTAGCCTTTTGCCTAATGGGCATCTATTGAGACCTTGTCTCCTACACCGAGGACATAGATTTAATGAAAAAGGTTAGTAAGACTAAAGATGCAATGCATCTAAATAAGTGCGGCCCGGTGAGCCTCCCACCACTACAGGTCTGAAGAGGATCAAATGTGCACAGCCTTCTCTGCATGCAACGAAGCTATTTCGGCAACTTGAACCCAAGTTATAATAAAACAATTTTACCGTTGTGCCAAAGCCCACCTCACATATGCAATGCATCTGTGCGGCATAAATTGAGTTAATGAATGCTCCGATTTGGTTTATCTTCCAAATGATACTAGAAACTGCATAACTGATGCAGTTATGGTGACATCACGAAAGACTCCATAGTCAGACTAAATATATCATGTATTAATGGTATCCTAGGAATGATTTGAAAAGGATCTAAGCCACGTCAAAGCAATTGAAAGTCTAAATCAAACATCAGACTCACAACTTACCATGCAATATTGCCCCAGTGAAGGAAACCGCCATGTCCTCTAGCATTTGTGAACTTGTAAACGGGACCCGAAACTAGCCATTTAAAAAAAAAATAAGAGTCTTCAAATTTAAACACTAAATAATAGTAAAGATACAGAAAACTCAACTACTATTTTAAAGAGTGGGACTGATGATACCTTCATAACCCTCAAGAACTGGATCTTCTGAGAGCAGAAGGGGTGTATCTAGGTCAATGAATCTGGATAGAAATTTAAGACGTAGGTTACTAGTGTCATCTTTCAAGCATTGCACCTTTGGATTGAATAATTTGAAAATGGATGAAACTCAATTGTGAATAAGATTGATACAGAGTAAAGAGCTTTGATAATTCATACCCAGAAACATTGTATGTATAACTTGAAAATGCCCAAAACATATGAAATTCTATTATAAAAAGCAGCTAGTTAAGCCATTTTACTGCAGAAATGAAAGGAACATGATGCTTACTTAAAACACCCAAGCCCAGCTGCAAGATTACCAGCAAAGCCCATGGCCAGTCTAGTCTCAACCATACCACCAATCATCAAACCCAATCCTGAAGCCCTTGCCACTTCAATTATTTCAAGGGCCCCAAGGACCCCTACTTTGGCAAGCTTAATGTTTATGACATCCGCAAGATTTCCTTTCACTATTTTCTTAACATCAGCAAGACTCCGACAGCTTTCATCAGCAGCAACGGATACCCCATACTTGTCTTTCGCAATATGAGTGACATGACCAAGACCTTCCCAGTCATCTCTATGCACCGGCTGTTCAAAAAGGACTGGAGTCACCTTCATTTCTGCAAGGAAATGACCATATTTCGATTTTCAGGAAAATTTTCTCAATAAAGTGAAATAGTGGTAAAGGTACTACATCTACACAAACAAAATGAGAGAGAGAGAGAGAGAGATCACTTTTTAAGTCAAGAATCATCCCTAAGCAAAAAATTATCTGCCCTGCTTAGGATTTCTTTTTATGTACAATTTTTACTTATGACTTATTAGTGGGATGAATAATAATCAATTGATACTTCAACAAACACTTTACCATTTAGTTTTTCGAGAACTTGAATAGCTTCCTTGGATGTGTACCCTTCATTAGCATCTAAAATAAATGAGCAATCAGGGTGGGCCGCGCGTATGGCTTGAAGCACTTCTATGTCTGCATTTAGATTCTTGCCTACCTTAAGCTTCAATGTCTTGAATCCTTGTTTACGATACTTTGAAGCAAGCTCAGCAGCTATAGCAGAGGAAACAATTGGAATCTGCACACAATGTTTAAGTAGTCAAATATTTAAGGCCAAATGTTTGCCATTCTCCTGTCTTCAACCCCTCTGGTACTTAAGGAAGTAAAAAGAAAATAGAGAAAAATGATAGTTACGTAGAATGCTTCTGATTAAGTGGATTAATTAAGCAGGAACTCAACTGTTATATCAGTGGTTATTGTATTTAAAACTCCACCAAATAGTCTCCACAAAGGTATGCCAATGCTGTTAGCAACTGCATCAATTAATGCCATCTCGACTCCAGCTCTAACCTTTAACCGCAGAAACAACTAAATGAGATCTACAGAACCCTTGAGACTTTATAAAGTGCATACTTTGAGTTAAAAAGAGTAATTCATTAATTGAGAAAAATATAAACAAGCAAATTAAATGCCAATTATGTTTGTCCAATACTGACTACAAGTTTCATTGTTACATCAAATATTTAACTGCAGAATGCAGATGTATATACACAAACACATGTAAATATTCCTTTCCATATTGTAGCTGTTTACAGCAAAAATGAGTAAATCTCCATAGAAGTGAAAAAAAACTAAGTTATTCATCAGAAGATTGAAAAAATGATCGAACATGATAGAAACACAAGAAGAAAAATAAAAAAAAAGAATATAACAATTTGTGAATTCCTCAAAAAGCTCCCACCTATTGTTGGTCCCACTCAAGAATCAAACATCATACTGAACTAAAAAATTGCAGATGTCAGTCAAACAGGAGAGGTGAAATGAATTTTACTGCAAAGGATGCAAGTTAATCCTGAAATAATTGGACTCCACCTAAGGTTTAGAGGGGTGCCCTTCGATCAAGAAGTTGAAGAAGATCCACGAATAAGGTAGATTCTAGTGACAGTAAACAGTCCCATTGGACATATATCAAAAACAACGCCAAGTCACTGAAAATAAAAACTCCACTCTCACAAGAGTGTAGTCAAGAGCCCCTCTCAGATTCCTCTCAGCTTCCTCTCCCAAAAGCCATTGTCAAACACCCCCTCTAACATGTTCTACCGCTTCTGAAGACCACAAATAAAAGATAAAAAGCAAGAAACATGGAAAAGAAAAAAGTGCTCGAAGAAACCTGTTCAATTGACTGCATTTTGTAAGTTTTCAAGTCAAATTATAGATAGGTAAGGAATGATAACTACTCCTTTTAAATGCAAGGGCTTCTAACTTCTCTGGGAAGTCAAAGCAAACACAGTAATGAACGGAATATGCTGGAAGTGCTTGCTTGACTTGAAACTTGAGAGGCATGAGGAGAACTTTTCTCTCTCCTTATCAAGTAGATTGATTGCAACCAGATGGGACTTGAGGAAGAAAAATAAATGTGTTTTGAAAGATAAAATTCAGCCAACATACTACGAAGAATTCATTGTAGGGCAACAGATATCATAAGTCCATTGACTTTCCCCACAACAAAGAATAAAAGAGGAACACTAAATTGCCAAAGTTCCATGATTCTTATCAATCATTGACACTCAAATCAAACTAGGAAATCAAGTCGCTAACTTGCTTTTTTCACCAAGTTATCAAAAATGCAAATTCCAATCGGCAAACAAGATAAATCCAGCGTAGCAGCAGGTTTTGAGGAATCAAGTTTCTTTTTGGAATAAAATTCAATACAATGGTTCAAACTGTGCAAAGTATAAAAACCCAAAGAACATGAGCACAATTTCAATCAACATAGATTATTCACCTCTATAAGGAAGCAGTACTACAATTACAAGAAAATCAAAGCATTTTAAAAAACCAAAGCGGCACCAAATGATCATAAAAGAAAACAATCCAATAAGCACACAAGGTTGACCACTTCGTACAAATAACAAAATAACCATAAGAAAGTCAAAAACACCATACTGAAACTTAGGGAAACTCACTGATGCAGATTCATGTCCTGGCAGGACTGCTCCAATCTCATTCAACACCGAACCCAAAGTCATCCCAGGACTCCGCCTCAAAAACTCACAAGCCTCGGCCGCCTTGGCCAACGCAGTGGGCTGATCCTCTGCGGTGACAAATGGAAGAACTGGAGCCTCACCCCACCCCACACACCCATTACTCAATTCAACCCTAATAGCCACATTCTCCACCTTTTCCAGTCTAGAACTCGCTATAGTAAAAGGGGCAATCAAAGGCACATTCAGAGGCCTACCTTCTGCTCTCTGCACATCAACTGTGAATGTTTCCTTCAAATTCTGGAACCCAAAGCTAGTGTATGTCGCCTCAGTCATCGCCGACGGCACACAGGAGGCGGTGATGGTGGTGGAATTCTTGAAACTGGAAGAGAATATTGGGGTTTTGGGATTCTGGGTATGCAGAGAAAAACAGAGGAGAGCGGAGTGAGATGGTGAATATACAGAAAACCCCCCCATTGGACCCATTTGGTGTAAAGGCTATTGGTGGGTGGTAGTGCTGGAGTTTGTGGTGTTCTGGATGGCTTTGATTGGGTCTGCAATGGGAGATCTGAAGAGCTACCATTGTTGATTTGTACTTTGTTGTTGTTTCAGAGTTGTGAACCGGGGGAGGGGGGGTGTGATATTTGTTTAATCAAATTCTCAGTTTTAAATTCTCACGTGGGTGTTTTCTGGTGTCTATTTTGCTTGTTTTCTTGTGTGGAACAGTTGGTGTGAATTTGATTATTGTTCTTTTGGGTGCATGTGCTTGTTTTTTTCTCCGGGAGGGTGTTTTGTTGGCCCAGTTAGAAAGTTTACACGTGACATGTATACTATGTTTCTGGAGCTAGGTAAATTTTTATACCTTTAAATAACGATTCTTGATAATTTTATTTTTGTGATACTTTTCACAAATTATTAAATATTGGGTAAAAAAAATTTTATGTCTTAAATTGACACATGGTCTATTTTTTAATTTTAATTTTAACAATTTATATAAAGTATCACCAATTTAAATAGTTGATGTATAATATTTTGAAAAGGGAAAACTTATTCCACACCCTTTTATCATTGAGACCTCTGACATAATTGATACTTTTCATCAATGAGACCCCTGACATCTTTTGAATTTTCACTGACACCCCTTGTTAGTATTTGCCTCCTAACAAAAATTAAATAATTGTCTATTTTTTTGACTTATCTTTTATCTTCATGCAAATCCACATAGGCCATCGTGAAACTCATTCCTAAATGTGATTACGACTCTGTGAGAATCTACAAAGCCACTTTAACTTTCGTGTCTCTTCTTAACGTACCAACAATAGAATTGGTCACAAAGTATTAGAACTTCAAAAAATTTGTTATGCATATTAGCAAATCAAGACAGGATTTGTGGAGTATTTTTGACTTGAGGTGAGAATTGAAAGTTTTAGTGGTGGATTTGAGATGAATTTGTTTGGTCTAGAGGCATTTGTTGTTTGTATTTTTTCATATTGGCACTGTATTCATTTTCCGTGAGAATAAGATTTTAATGGCAAGGTAGTGGTGGTAATATTGGTGGTGATTTGTGCGGATTGAATTTGGGGAAAGATTTGGAAGAAAGGTAAATTTGGTGTTTAAAAACTATATATGCATGGCACCACAACTTTTTAGATTGTCAATAATGGTCGGTTACACTAAAGGGTCTTGATGAAGTAAACACATAAACTAAAATGGAGTACAGTGAAATTTCAAAAGATACAAGAGTTCTTATTGAAGACTAGTTATTTTTCATGTCTAAAGATATGAAGTAATTACAAAAAATTAATCAAGAATAAACAAATTTTTATTCACACTCAAAATCAAATCACAAAGATAGAGGAAATAGAAAGGAATTTAAACATCGATTATAGTGGGGGTGAGCGGTGGCAATGGTGGTGGGAGACGTAGATATTTATGGTGGGTGACGACTATCCTGATGGTGGTAGTCGTGGGTGGCAGTGGTGATGGTGGTGGTGGGGCAGTAGGGATGGTGGTGGTGGTAGGACAGTGACAACGATGATAAGGTAGTGACAACGATGTTGATAGTGTGCAACAATGGTGCTGGTGGGGGTGCTAACGGTGATAGTTGGATGATGGTAGTAATGATAATAAATATAAGAATAAGATGACAATGGTGGTGAGTGGTTACACTGGACGATTGTGGCAGCAATCGATGATGGGTAGTAATGGTGGTGGTGATAAGGGGTGGCAGTGGTGGTGGGACAGTAGCGGTGGTGGTGATAGTGATGGTGATGGTAGAGGTGTGGATAATGGTGGGAGGGTGGTGGTGGTGGAGTGATAGCAGTAGTGGTGACGGGGCAGTGGTAGTGGTTGTTGTGGAATAAGTGGTGGTGATGGTAGCGATGGTAGTGGGGCAATAAGTGTGGTGGTGGTGGGGGGGGGGGGGGAATGGCGACAGTAACAACGACGGTGATGGTAATGGTAGTGGTAGTAGTGATGGTGGTAATGATGGGGAGTGGTGATTGTGGTGGCAGTGGCGGTGGTAGTGATAATGGTGGTGAGGCAGTGGGGATGGTGGTAGTGGTAGGGTAGTTTCAAGCGCTACTTTTTTTTTAAAGTATTTATGATAAGTTATAAATTTTAGAAACGCTTTTAAAAAGTTATCTCAAACACACCCTTATGGCCCTATTTTCTTATTAAATTTGGAGTATTAATATTAATCGTCAGATTAACTTTAAAATAAAATTTTAAAACAATCTCAACTGCGAAAAACAAAAATTATTTTATTTATCTTTTGAGATTTGAATTGTATTATATTTTATTATATAAACTAGTTATTGTCTGTACCTAAAGACACAAAGTAATAAAAAAATGTCAACAATAAATATATTTGTATTTACATTTAAAATCAAATTACAAATATAAAGGAGAGAGAAAAGAATTTAAGCACCGATTATAGTGAAAGTGAGCGATAGCCGTAATGGCGGGTGATGGGGGTGGCGACGGTGATAGTGGGGGTGGTAAGGGTGATGTTAGGACAGTGGCGGTGGTGGTGGGGGGTGATGGTAGTGATGGTGGGGGGGTAGTGGGGATAATGGTGGTTGGGTAGGAGGGGGTGGGGTGGTGAGATTGGTAGTGACGACGATGGTGATAGTAGGGGCAGTAGTGGTTGTAGTGGGATAGTGGTATGGTGGCAGTAATGATGATGGTAGCAGGGGGCAGTAGGGGGTGGTGGTGATGGTGAGGTGGTGGGTAAGGTGGTGATGGGGTGGTGACGGTGGAGATAGTAGTGGTGATGGTGGTAATGGTGATGGAGGTAGTGGTGATAATGGTAGTGGTGGTGGGCATAGTGGTAATGATGATGGGGTTATGGTGGTAGTGATAGTGGTGGTAGTAGTGATGATGGTGGTGGGGCAATGGGGATAATGGTGACAATAGTAGTTCCAAACACTATTTTTTTAAAAGTATTTATGAGAAATTATAAATATTAAAAATATTTTTAAAAAATCACATCAAACACACCCTTAAGTAGGACTGTCAAAATTCGACACGACATGATTAACCGACACGAATCAACACGAATTAAACGGGTTTTGGTGAGATCTTAACGGATTTGGGTGATAAACGAATTGACACGCCAAACACGTTTAATAAACAAGTCGTGTTCGGGTGAGACATGTCAAACATTTTATCACACGTTTACTCGTTTAAATAAAATTAATATAATAATAAAATAATAATTATTTTAAAAAATTAGCAAGAAAAAAAAGAAGTAAAGAAATTAATAAAAAAAAAGAAGTAAAGTAGTAGTTCAAAAACAAAAGAGAGGAGATGAGGAGCACTTCAAAGACAAAGGCAAATCAATGCCTTTTATTTTTGTCCCACATTAAAAATGAGGGGAGATGAGGAGGGTTGAGTTGCCAATAAAAAACAATGACATTTTGCTTTTTTTTTTAAAAAAAACTTTCAAGTTTTATTTTTATGAGATTTGACTAAAAATTTCTCTTTTTTAAAGTAAGTGCAATTGTCAATAAAAAAAGGGGAGTATTAAAATTTATTAATATAATTTTTTTAAAATTAAACGGGTTAAACGAGTTGTATCATGTTATCTGTTTATTAACGGGTTGTGTTCGTGTTAAAATTTTTTATCCGTTTATTAAACGTGTCGTGTACGGGTTTATATATTTTTCACCCGTCACCCGTTTAACCTTTCACGTAACCGTTTAACTCGACACGTTTGACACCCCTACCCTTAAAGGCCATATTTTTCTTATTAAATTTAGAGTGTTAATATTAACCGTCGGATTAATTTTAAAATAAAATTTAAAAAAATATCAACCGCGAATAGTAAAAGTCATTTTGTTTATCTTTTAAAATTTAAATTGTATTAGACTTTATTATATAAATATGGTAATTTACACCAAATGTGGATGGAATTTATCTTTTTGAAAACAATGCTTGATCTGACAAAGTACAAAAAAACAAAAGTAAATTAGGGTGGAATACAAGATTCTGCGTTGCCACAGGGCACAAGACCTATTTTCGTATAAACTACCTTTCACACCTAACACAAGATGTGTTAAGATTCCACCAATGAAGTTTTAATGTGGTAAATAATTTTTAATTTTTGTTGAATTTATTTCTTCTTTGAATTTAAGTGCAAACTCATCAAGCACTAAACACATACAATGAAGCATAAAATTGCTCATGTTGTCTAGGTACTTACTAGCATGCCTTTTGAAAAGATTATGGTGGTAATTTTTTATAAGGGAAATGTATTAGAGCCTCTTAAAGCACCCAATTAATCTTTCGATCGACGTACAATCCCATTGTCTCATATACATTAAACAATTACAAGGACAAATCTTTGAGGTGAGTCAAGTGACTAAGAACATATTCCAAAACAAGAAGTAAAGCAAATTCATGATCAACTTGTTTATCCCATGAGATCCATTATAGTAGTTATTTATACATTATCTTTTACAAATAAATTAAAACTTTGAAGTATGGTCACAGTCTCAATTCCTCTTTCTCACGATGAAGTTACTCGCAATGTCCCTCAAATACTTGAACTCAATTCACAATACTCTAAAATCAAACATCTTATGTTTTGAAAAAGAATAAAATATTCACGTGTCGTCAAATAATACAATTCAGAGGGTATAAACAATACGACTTTCGATTTAATTCTTAATGGATGACCGTAATTGGGGTTACGTGAAACAAAAAAGCACAATTGGATGTTCAATGTGAAGAACATTCCGGAAAGGGGTAGAATATGATAAACACTATGATTAATGGTACAATATGAGACAGAGAATATTTAAGGAGAGTAAAGTACAATTTCCTCTTCTTCCAATGTTGTATGATGATGTTGAACAAAAGTTAGGACTTGGGGTAAATTGTACTTCCCCTAAGATATTGCCCTAGCATCACGATATCTCTCTACTGTCGATATTCTCGCGTTATCACTCAAAAAAATCAATTTAGTTGAGTAATAATACGTCACATTTTTTTTTTAAAATGCTGGTTTTGCTGTGAAAAATAAGGATTAATTATAAAATATCCCCTTCAATTTTAGATAATTTATAACTCACTCCTTTAGGTTTTAATTTCAAGAAATAGCCCTTTTAAAATTTGAATATTTT